TGTCAACTCTGCCAGGCATAGGATTCAAAACAAACTTCCTATTCCAAACATCTCTAATTATAACTATTTCTATGAGTCACTCGTCACATCAATCTGCTTCTTCCTATTTTGTGTTTTAGAGACATTAGCAGGGCACTGGGATGGCACCCCACTACCGCTGATCCACTACACACATTAGTATTCATTTTTATTGATAAATCATCCTTAATTCACTGTGGTTTAGGTTTATTTTACTCTTTGTGAAGAGAAATTGTTCGATTGACGATGGCTTTAGAATTGAGACCACTTTGTTATGAAAACAATTTAAAGTTTTAGGTTATCTGAATAAATTCCTTAAAATAAAAAGCCTTTCAGAGGGCTAACTCACTGACCCATAACACCTGTACTGGGGACAGTAGATCCAGCTAATCTGGTATAAAATATGTTGTACTGAGACCATGATATCTTGTCCCACCATTGGCTAATCCTTACTTTTGATAAGGATTTATGTTCAGTCCTGTCTGATTTTACATCTGTGACTCACAGAAGAGCAAGTAGTTTGAATGACTTCTTAGTACATATTTACTTGGTATAACCAATCCCTTCCACAATGTGGTTAACTCAAACCAAAGGGCTCTTATGTAAGACGTTGTACACGGTATGGCATAAAATGTCAAATGAGGCTTACATACATTAAATGCTGTGACACAAAAGATAAATCAACAATGTCAAATATTATAGATGAAACAGTAGGGGAAGGAATCCAAAGTATACATTGGAAACTGGAAAGGTTAACCAGTTATATCAGTTGTGTCGTACATAAGGTGAGGAGAAAAGTCACCTCTGAAATAGCCCTCTATGTCAATGATAGCATAATTCCATGTGGATATGTATGGTTTGACTGGGTTTAACCACATGTTATAGTGCCTGAGTGGTCCTCTCCATCCATTATAGGCCCATTCAGCCAGAAAGTTTCAGAAGAAGTCGGTTGATAAGTCTTCCACTTATGGTAGGACTACAAATGTATTCTTTCATCAAAAACCTGTACCGACAGTCAGACATTGAAACAACCAGGTGTGGTTTACTTGATTACATACAGCTTCCGCAAACAATACATGGGCAATACATACCAACAGCTCAAACTGCGTATCTGTAGTTAACACTGCTGTTGACCCGCCAATGTCACAACATCAGCCGCGGTGGAACTACCGCCAGTATGATCACATCAGGGCCTGCAAGCTGGGGGTCACCATCCCACATAAAGTCGTCTTCAAATTTGGGGCAACCCGACATTACTGATCAGGTGCCCATCCTGCTGCCCTTGAACAGTGTGGCAATAGCCTTGAAAATTCTAAACTGTATTTTTGTGTGTGCGCTGTCACAATGTGGCCATATGGTGGAACTGAACCCCCATATTTGATTGGTGAGATAGATGATTTTAAGTAGCATTGTATAATTTAAAACTGTATTTTTGTGTGTGCCCTGTCTTTTAATCTGTATTTTTTTTAATTCTTAATTTTTACCATTCTTTGTAATTGTAATTCAAATATCAGCAATACATTGGGTTAATGTTATTTTTTTTATTTTTTATTTTTTAAATTCTTTATTTTATCGTGCATGGATTATACAGGTTACATTTACGCCAGCAATGCTACAACAGCGTATGCCAGAGTTTCCATAAACATATGAAGATAGTTGGCATGAATGAACAATGCACATTTTTAATTTTTGAGTAGACAGTGGTGTGATACAAGCCCTAGCTACGATTATGTGAGAGGCTATGTGGGCCTATCTATTGCTTATGTCAGTAGATGTATAGCAGTCGTCTGGTGGATGAATGGTGAGTAAATAGTTAACTGACTAGACATGTTATGCAGTCTGAGTGAGCTATACAAATAAACCTACGCTTCCTTTATGGCTTAACCCCTAGGACAGGGTTGTAGTTAGATAAGTATAAGGTGTAGTTTACATGCTTACTGTGAGTAGTTAATGCCCCTAGGTGCAGTATGGTGAAATATTGTGTACCTGTTAGTGAAACAGATGCTTCAAAGATAATCGTGAACTCCCTAACTCAAGCTATTTTCAGAGGAGTAGAGTGTAATTCAGGTCTAGAATAAGAAAGGGGTGCGTACTGATATCTTGCTAATGAAGCCCAACAGGATCCCCTGCAGCCACCACCCCACAATCCCCATTCACCCGATGCCTCGTTTCGTCAGAGCAAAGTCCCCGTCTGTGTTGGAGCATGCTGTGTTTTGAGTCCCAGGTAAGAGGCAATGCTTTTCGGTGGCCAGGAGCAAGATTCTCCTTGACTTGTTGAGTGTGATGCAGGGCTGAGGTTTGCCCTTTGGCGGGTGTTGCCTCCATGCTGCTGCTGGTTTCGCTGGGAATGTTATTTTTTTTTATTCTTTATTTTTGTTGTGCAGGTGAGTACAAAGTATAGTCATGCACCACAACAGCGTTCAATAATATGGCAACATAGATAAGTTAAACAGTGGCTTTGAAAACTTGCACTTTTAGTTTAAAGGTAAAGTAAGTATAGTAGATATGTCTATGCGATAACAATCTTTTTTAGAGTAAATATGCTTGTAGCATCCTGACGTCTTTGGTACACAGAGTTACATATATGAGAAAAAACAAACAGACAGTGATCTAGCATGCTGACTATTGTGTTAGAAAAGGACTGGCAATTCACAGTTTGCCCTAATGATCAGAGGCTATCTAATTTTCATATTGTAAGCTAACATGCATGCAACTGATATGACACTGACGCAACATTAGTTAAAGCTAAACAGTTGTGCAGTATATGTTGAGTTGAGGAGACTTAGCTAATCTAAAGTGAGATCAATATAACAAAATTTTTAACTTAGTAGAATTTTTCTTGCTTTTGTGTCGCTGGGTTGTTTGCAACCTCAGTTGGGGTCCCTGTCCAGAGACTTATCTCAGCCGGCAGCCAGCCCCCGAAGTTTAGGCAGTCAGCCGATTCCCTGGCTGGGCTTCCACCTTCCTTGTGTACAATGTCCACCTGGCATGTTTTTATCTTCCAATGTGGCGTTGTGTAAATCGTCCTGCCGGAGTGGGAGTTGGCCAAGCTTTGTTGTGGTGCGGTGAGTGAGCGAGTGTGGTTGGAGTCAGTTGGTCGTGCCAGTGGGCCTGGATAGAGTCGCCCATGAGGAGGTGGGTGAATGCTTGAGATCGAAGCTTGTTTTCCGCAGTTTCCACCCGCTCTCCGCCCTGCGCGAGCAAGGTGTATGCTGAGGTGGTGGTTGTCGAAGTGGGCGTACGGTGAGTAGTTGCAGAGCACCTTGTTGCAGCATGAGTTCAAGCTTGATCCAGAAGTTTTGGAAAATCCTGTCAATGCTGGACAGGAGGTTTAGTGGTACCTCTTGGCTGTCTGCTGGCCGCGTGGTCTCTGCCATTTTAGGTTGGCCTCTCAGCTCTCTGGCCATCTTCACGGTTGTTTCCGTCGTGTTGGTGGGGACCACCACCCCCACCGGACCAAAGGGGGGGGGATAGCAGGGTAGTGTCACATATTCATCCGCTTATAGAAATGTGGTTAATGACATTTACTGTCCACACAGGAAAAGTTGTGCCGAGCAGCAACCTAATCCACAGAAGGGTTAATGCTGAGCAGTAATTGTGCAAATGAAACCTGGTGTCATGTATTCATCAGCTTAGAGAAAAGTGAGTAATGATATTTACTGTCCACACAGGAAAAGTTGTGCCGAGCAGCAACCTAATCCACAGAAGGGTTAATGCTGAGCAGCAATTATGCAAATGAAACCTGGTAACTGACTTTGGGGTCAAAGGCCGGTTACAGCCTATCAGAACTAAAGGAGGGTATTTAGGCCCAGTTCTCAGCCTGCTCAGTGCCCTGTCGTGGTTTCCCTTGTGGTTGTCTGAGAGCGCGTTCTTGTTTATAGTTTTCTACCTGGTTTTTGACTTTGGCTTTGTTTATTGACTTTTCTATATTCTGGTATCCTGACTCCTGGCTTTCCTCATCGCTGTGTCCCTTTCTGTGTTCCCTGACCTCGGCTAGTATTTTTGACTATTCTTTGTACGTTAAATCCGGCCATTCTAAGGACCGGTAATACGTTACTTATTTGTCATCCGTGCTGTACAGTTCTACGTGCTGGATCAAACAGTAATCCTGACAGGTAGCAGCAACTCGTGGCAGTTGGTCTCCGGGTGGTTCCAGGCTGGGAGATTGGCCGCCTCTCCCGCCCGGAGTTTGCCAGGCCACTTGCCCTCGCGGGTGCATTCTGCTGTCTGTCGTCCACTCACGGGCCGCATCACCGGTTTACCATGAGGGTAGAGGACTAGTAAGTCGCTTGGGGTCCTGTGGTGTGGTTTGTAGTGGTATAGGGGTGCCTTTTTAGCCATTTTTCCCAAGATTAGTGTGGAGCTCCAGCTAGGCACATCTTCCCTCCATGACAGTCAGGCCCCGCCCCCGGTTTAATGTTATTAAGTAAGTATAACGAGATAAACTGTAATAGATGGGACCAGAGGCACGCAAATACGGAACACGAGAGGCATTGGACCACTGCATCAGTAATAGTGGATCTGTGCCTTTGCGGTAGGGTGTCATCAAGGCGTAAAAAAACAGTCAACCCGGGGGGTGGGGCCTGACTGTCATGGAGGAGAGATGTGTTTTGCAGGAGCTCCTCTCCTAGGCAAGCTTGAACCGAAGTTATCACCCACATTCTGCCTAGGTGTAAACGAAGTAAGTGAATTATACAACTCTTGACCCTTCTGAGACCTACTGTAGGGGGTGATAATCTGCAAGGCGCTAATCTGCTACGCTGCTCAAATCATGCGGCCTGTGGCGCACCGGATGGAGGACGCAGCTGATCCACTGGCCCGGATTAGTTCGAGGGCACACAACATAGCACAAGAACCCAGTTACCCCCCCTCCTTGGACCGGTGGGGGTTATCCCGTTCCACCCCTGGGAGGCTACGCACACATGGCAGGAGCTAGAGACAGGGCCACAGCGGCTACTACAACCTGCAACGACACAGCCAAAATGGCGGACGCAGAGCAGGCCCCCGACAAGATGGAGGACAACCCTGACATCTTAGCCAGTCTGGACAGGATATTCGACAATTTCTGGCGCAAGCTGGAGGGTAAGCAGCACCAACCTGTCTGGAGCCAGTCAAGTGACCACTCGCTGCACAAGCCGACCCTGGTCATGTTGCAGAAGACCGCAGCGACGACACCCCATCAAGCCCTAACATGGCGGCGGGGTGGGAAACGTGGGTAGTTTACCAAAGGGTAAAAGCTTACCTCAGAGTCATCCTCCAAAATCAGCAATGGTACCAGAGGGAGAGGCTTCATCCTGGTGGCATAACAAACATAATGCCTCCCACAAGAAAGCACAGAAGCACGCACCCACAGTGAGGGCTCTAATATGGACGGCGCACAAGCAGCAGACCCAACAAAACCATCAGCAGCACGGAGGCGGGAACCGCCAAAGAGCAGACCTCAGCCCTGCATTAAACCTAGCAAGCCAAGGAGAGCCTTGTTCCTGGCCACCGAAAAGCACTGCCTCTTACCTGGGATGCTCCAGTACAGACGGGGACTCTGCTCGGATGAAACGAGGCATAGGGTGAACGGGGACTGTGGGGTGGTGGCTGCAAGGGGTCCTGTTAGGTTTCATTAGCACGATATGGACACACACTCCTGAAATACACTCTACTCTTCTGAAAATAGCTCTCGAGTTAGGGAGTCTATGATTATCTTTGATGCATTTGTTTTACTAACGGTTACACAATGTTTCACCATACTGCACCCAGGTGCATTAACTACTCACAGTAAGCATGCATAAATTTAATGTCATCACACACTACTCTTAAACACGCTTAAAGCCAAGCCTCTCTCTGACACTACTTGTATTAACCTGTGAATTGCATTTTAATATGCTTAATTACCCTAGCATGTTATATTATATAAGCAATGTTTATTAGCCTATTTTCATGATCATACAAAAAATGTGCTGATCAAACTGCCACACTGTCTTGAAAACGCTTGTAGATGCTGTTGTGGCTCTGCACGCATGTTGTAATCATTTGCACAAGAAAAAAAAACAAACAAAAAACAGTCAACCCTGATTGGGTAGCATTTAGTAACACAGGGCAAGTCTGCTTATGGAAGTGACAGAGCAGCTACAGGTAGATTCATCCCACCAGTCCCAGGCTTCATCAGGAGACCCCAACAGGTGTTATGGGCATATGCAAATATTACAAATGTTTAGAATGAAATGTTGTATTCCTTAAACTATGTACTTTGTCTTTAACCCCCTCAAGGACACATGACATGTGTGACATGTCATGATTCCCTTTTATTCCAGAAGTTTGGTCCTTAAGGGGTTAAGAGATTCTGCAATCTGACAATTTGTTAGAAATGGAAAATATTGTTTCTTTAATCAATGACCTCTTACCCATATTCAGGGAATATGGGATACAGACTTTAGGACCTAATTTTCTTTTAAGTTAATGTAAGTCAGGGAATTTCCCACATCATGTGCACCCTTAAAGTTTAGTCTGAACATAGATAAGATGTTCCCGAGTGAAATGAAGTTTGGCCTTGTATCCTTGCCAAGTTAAGGTATGTCCTACTTAAAAATCTAAGGTATAAATATGTGTACTTTTAATATTAGCACACAGAGGAGAGATTTTGGAGACAGAGACGCTGCTCTATTTTATCACAACTGAGAGGTTGAAATGATCAAGAGGGTATGTTATTCTATTTTAATGATATTGCAAGCATATACATTAATCTTATAACCTCTGCTATAAATTATTGTAATGGATTATTAAGGTTTTATATGTCTATATTTATATTTTTATTTAATAAAATATTTAAAAAGACAAAATGTCAGTGGCGTACTAAGAGGGGCGGGGGCCGGTCTGCCCCGGGTGCCACCAGATAGGGGGTGCCATGATCCCGGTCTGGGTGATGGATGGGGATGTGTGAGGTGTGCCCCATGGCAGCTGGGGTGCCGGGCGCCGGTAACGCTCACAAGTGCAGAGACCAGCAATTACCAGCTGAACTGGGCGCACAGAAGGAAAGTGGGGGCAGTGCTAAGAAATGTTGGGGTGGAGCAAAACCGGCAGTGGGGCGGGGTTAACACAGCCTTTACCCGCTGCTGTTACTGCTGCACATGGAGGTGCAGCAAGAAGGAATCCCTACTTTTCCAACTAACAGCCTCCAAGGAAGGACTTCAGTGAATCCACCCCTCCTTCAGCCCACTGTCTGTAAGTAAGAGTGTGTGTGTGTGTGTGCGACTGTTTGCCTGCATGTAAGAGAGAGAGAGAGAGAGAGAGAGAGAGAGAGAGAGAGAGTGTGTGTGTGTGTGTGTGTGTGTAACAATAGAAAATAGGTAGTCAATTGATAAAATCAAATTAGGGCAGCATTACTATAACAGAGCGACTTCTAATATATGTAAAACAACAAGTAAATACTAGTGAGCGCACCAAAATAATAATAAAAATGAAGTTTAATCACTAATTCAGTAGGATCACCAATCTTACAGGGTCTTTAAAAACCTAAGAGTAGTCTAAAGAAATAAACCCAAATTAAGTGGAGAATCACCTATACAGAAAAAAACATAAACTCAATAAGAAAAACAGTCTCGGAACAGCAAGCCTATGTTTTTTGATTGTACTAGTATTTCATTATTTTTATTTAATACTTTGTTATTTTGATCTTTTACTATGCACTATTGATACACTCTTAGTGTTACATTGTTTCTTCAGCATATTTACTGTGCCTAGGTGATTCGCCACTTACTTCAGGTTTATTCCTTTAGTCTAGACTACTCTTAGGTTTAAAGACCCTGTAAGATTGCTGCAGCCAAGTCTGAAGCTGAGTTTTACAGGTGGAGGTCCACAAGTGTTCCCAAACTCAGACATGAATAAGCTGCTGCCAAAAATCTTTGGGAAAAAATTGTTTAGTTGCTTTTTGAATTAAAATGCTGAGGAGACGATGTACTTAATCTTTATTTTGTATAAATTTATTGTATTTAATTTGTATTTTACATACAAACTAGTAAAAAAATAATACTACAAAGGTTTAGACTGTATTGTTCTGAGGTTCTGTAAATATAAGGATGGTGCACACTGTGACTGGACGCAAGGGATGCAGGAATGTGCCCAGGTAAATTGTTAAACCGTACTAAAACTGCTTGACATCATATTGTAGAATGGATTCAGGGTATCCCAACTCCACTTTACCCACAACTTAGATATTTTTACCTCAATGTTGGAATTTGTATTTTAATTCACTGTAATTTTGTGGTTAAGGAATAGGGTGTTCACCCAATTATTCCGGAATATCCCAAAAACGTTTGTTTTGCCTGTTGATCTCGGATTGATGGATCCAACATGTGAGTTGGTTTAAAAGATCCCACTATTACATTAAAAGGACCAATGTTTCATTAATTCAGTTTAACAACTCAGACAGCCAACCTCAAAACCCTCCAAGATACCCATGCTCTAAACACAGCTCAGCTCCCACTAAACTAAATATTTTCTATGACTGATGTCATATCACACGTGCTACAAGACAATTATTTCACAGGTACCTTTACTTTAATGTGTACCATAAAAACTGTGCTAAAGTAAAAAAAGATAGATAACATTCCATTAGAAGTTATGTACACAGAGTGTAAGACTTTATTGGTTTAAAAGTATTATATTACAAATATTTAGGGCACGTATTGATAAGAAACATATCTATATGATGTACATGATAAGAGTGATTCAAAGAATACAGAATGAATAGTGAGGCTGTAAAGGCAACGTTCATGATTGACAAATATTGCTCAATTTAACCTGTACGGGAATAGAAAGTAGTTAAATGTTGTAGCAATGATTAGTCATTCTGTAAAATGTAACTTCTTAGGTGACAAATTTTCTTCTTTGTTAAAATTTTTAGCAAATAGTATTGCCTTATTATGTACTAAGCTAGTTTCTTTTAGGTATTTATTTTTTGTCATTCTTTATTTTTGCAGTGCAAGATTAAGCATACCACCTTGTACTGACATTATATATAATTTTGACAATAATCAAAATCATAGATACATAGATACAAAACATAAAATATGAAGAAAGGCTTTTTTTGGTTTTTTTTTCAAACAAGGTTAATCAGATGAGTGTGTGTCAGAGTAGACTCACCTCATTGGCTGTCTTCCGCTTGTGTGGATTTTGTTGCGTTGACAGGTCCCTGGTGGCCCTTAGCCCAGGTGTGCCAGTGCTGAATGGAACAGGTAATGGAATATAATCTTTGGCCTGTAGCGGAGTTCCCTGTACTCCAGCTGGGTACCTCCGCCAAGGATCGCTTCCTAGCTGGAATCGGGGGAAAAACCTCAGTGCTTCTGCCCCAGTCGCCATGGCTTGACTGGGGTCCTCCTGGAGCCTCTCCGTCCTGGAATAGGATAGGGGACTAGCTCAACTCCCTCCCATGGACTGGACGACACAGTACTTGGATCTCTAGTCCTTATAAGACTTTCCCCGCGGATTCCTCCACGAGCTGATACAAAATGCTGAGCAGTAATTAGCCCTTTCCCCTACCAGTAACTAGACAACACATAGTTCTGGGAGTACAACTGATTTTATGCACTCCATTGTATTCAACACCCATCCAAGGAATCTCTGGGCCTAGGAGATAATTGAGTTAAAGACTGGTAAGCTAATTATTTCTCCGGAACAGAGAGCCCAACACAAAATATAAAAATATAAAAGTACCACAAAACATAATAAAATATACAATAACGGGGGCGGGGCCTGACAGCTGAGCTGGCAAGACGTGTGCTCAGAGAACTCCGATACAAACAGGCTCAAAACTAGCTAATATTGGCAAAAAATCTTGACTACAGTGGTCCAGCTCATGGCTGAATCGTGTGGGGACTCATGGACACCCTTTTTGAGCATTTCCACCGAGGAAAACCACACTCCGCCGATGCGGCCTAACAAGGACAGAGGCCTAGTGGCAGGGTGAGGCGACTGATCTCCCGCCCTGGGGTCCGCCATGAGCCACAGCGCTCCTGGAGTCCCGCATCCCCCCCCTCTGGACCGGTGGGGATCATCCGGGTCCACACTGGGGAATCTCATATACTTGCCACCGAGGCTGGACTGCCGAAGCAGAGGACACAATTCAGGCGTAAGATGGCCGCCGAGCAACAACCCCTGCAATATCGAGCATGCCCCACGGCCCAATCCTGGAGAGAGCAATTTGAGGCTTGATTTGATCAACTATGCCTGGCATTCTGGCAGCGTATGGAGCGCAAAACCACCTACCCTGCTCTAGCTGTTACAAAGGAGAAGGAGGCCGCGGCGGCAGCTTACCGGCCCAGCACCCACACGGTCACGTCCATCTTGCAGACGGGCCCGCCGTCTGACTCTCCCGACGCCTCTCCACAAAACAGCAAGACAACACCAACCACCTGCACCACGACCTCGCAACAGCCTCCCCGCAAGTCTCTCAGGTGGGTGCAACTCCTATACACCACTCCGACAGCAATGCGGATTCTGAGCACAGCGGAGGCCCAGGAGAGAGGATACGCTTAGACAAGGTGGCGAGCCAGCTGCCGCAGACCAAGACCACACGGGTGCCCAGGCCCGGAGCGACCCTCCCCCGCAGCATGACGGACTTTTGTTCCCAGGAGGAAACAGCCTGTCATCCGCAGGCATCGGTTTAACAATCCCAGGCAGAGACAATCCCCAACATAGAGCATACCCTCACCTGCTCCCATGGGACGAAAAAATTTACTCCAATGACTCACCCACCCCTCTCCCTTGGTGTACTCCCTGAAAGAAGTGCTACCCCAGGGTCATGTTGCCAGACTGGCTAGTTTCCAGACCCTGGATGCCATACCAACAATACAACCAGCCCTGGACCGCACCTAATCTCAGTGGACGCTGTACTCCCGTTGTCATTTCTATTTCATTTTTATTTCACTCTTATTTTCACTTCACCATGTGAATATACCTGTCGCACCAATTTAGCTTGTTACCCACTGCTCATAGCCAGCTGTCGCTGACACCAAGCCTAACAATTACCTCTGTAGAAACACAATCTACTCACACATAGCCTGACACGAAGTACCCAGTGGCTTAAACACTCACAGTTAATCATTGTTTAGCATATTATAAAATTAACTCTTATAACTTTTATAAGACAAACCTGTTGTCAGCCTACACTACTTTAACACAAACTTGAAAC